TCGCTTAATGTATTATGTGAACATTGTAAATATCATACATTGTTTCATATTAAATATGTATGTTCTAAGTTAATGTCGATATAGGCAATAAATGTAGAGTCATAGAGATAGATAAAGTACTTATCAAAATCTAGTACAATCCTCATAAAACCAATTAATTTCTTGAGTTCAAGTAAACAGCTGTCTATAAAGCGGTTCAAACAAAGATTTGCAATGATTCATCGAATACACATGTTATCTTTACTACACAAATTATTTCATCATGGATAAACAACAAAATAGTCAGATATTGGAGAAAACACTGAGTAATGGTGCCCTAGTTAGCTAATCAAATGTGTTTGGACTATGTAAACAGACACTATGTGCAATAAATGACATTTATGTGAGTCAGTTTTAAAAGTTTGATTTGTTGCTCTTGCTAAAAGATGACTAAAGGACAAGTATTATGCGAACATCAGGTACCTCAAACAATCTTTCTCTTGTATAAATAAAGACAGAGTATGATATGTTGTAAAAATTCAGAACAGAGAATTACCTAAAGCAATCAGATATCTATCACAAATGCCGGAATCTAAACAGAGAGTAATAGAAAACATTCCCATTTTTGCAATAGTTTAGGTACTACATGTTAATTAATTGGATGCAAAAATGTTTTTCTAGGTTAAACAACTATCTACAAAATGATAAGACACAGAGAAATCTTAAAAACACCCAAGGATATGTCTACAATCTATTAAGGTGAAACAGAAAAAAAATCATTGATAATTTTATCACTTCAGCCAATGACAGTCTACGGCTGGAAGGAAACCTTCCCCAAGGAACACCTTCCTGAAGTCACGATTAAAAAAAAGAACCAATTAAGAATAATCAATACTACAACTTTGGTAAACCTGTTTGGCCAGCATGAGGACTGTATGCTAAAATCCTCCATTTGACTCTGGCAAATTAAAGAGGATCGTACTCCAGTAGACTAACATTTTGAATGAAAAGTATTACGTAAAATATATAATCTACGAGTATCCCTCATGGGAAATAACTTACACAAACAAAGAAAAACTGAGATGTTATTCGAATGTCTCAAGCCACATGTGCATGACAAGACCCAATTATAATGTTCAAAAATAGAATGTTGTACACGCACAACATTATAAAAAATATCCTGAATGAAGTAAACAATGTTTTATGTACTTTGTTTCTTATCATACAAACATGCGGTTTCATGCATGTCTGAGTAGACATTGTACCTATACAGAAATGTGTTATTTTGACGCAACAGCCTTTAAGTACTTAAATTACCTTCAGAACTTGAATAAATACTTCTTCTTCTTAGCTGGCACTCTGGTCAGAGTGGTCGTGGTTGCGCTGACGAGGTACACAGTGGGGAGTTGTCATCTCCGAGGGTAGCTCTCCTGGCGATGTGCTTCCATTTCTGACGGTTAGAGGCGTCGCGAGTACACTGGACCATGGTGGACTCAGTAGCCTTTGTGCTACATGTAAGTATTCGACGAAATTGACTCAAAAATGCTACAAATATGTAAATAGCAAAAACATGGTTCATGCGTAATTGAACCCAGCAGTATTCCAACATTTCCAACCGGAATCACGGAGCCATATTCCACATGTCGTTTCAGCGTTTGAACGCACGTCAGCCCCGCTTCCGAAACGCATGTCATGAAATAAATTATTCAACAATACCATCAAGACTTGGTCAATGAACATAAGTAATAAAATGTTATGCCAATAATAAAAACACCAATACATGATAATAAAAATAGGTGAGTAAGTACTAAAATCCAATTAAAATTCGAGTCCATACATTTTAGTAAGTTTGGTTATTTGTTTGTAAGATTGTTTTTTGTGTAGGACCTCAAAGATTTAAGATGGAGACATTAAGAAGACGTTTAGTCTCAAATTCGAAGACTAAACTGGGAAGATTTAGCCCTACTTTCACTATTTCAGTAGTAAACCATGTATTTTTAAGTACTATTTATGTATGTTTTTACTAGGTATGTTGAATTACAATCACGAGTTTGCAAGACATTATTTAAATAATCTAGGTAAGATAAGTATTTTTATAATTTCTCTCGCCCAATATTTACTTTCTAAATATGTTTTATTGTAGAGTACTTGCGATAAGAAAGGAATAGTGTTGATTGTTCCCACTCTTATCAAACGTTAGAATCTTACTGTTAAGTTGTGATAAAGTAACGGCTTTAAAAAATCACATAAGGTCTATATTAGTCTACAACAATAAATGATGTGTTACAAAAATTATTCCTTTCAAAACGTTAATGAAACTCTCAAAAAAAGTTATAATAGGTGTACTCTAGTACCTATCTTAAACAGTAGTATTGTAACATTAAAGTTCAAATTACATCTGCAACTCATTTCTTTATGATAGCATCTTAAACTTTACCACAAATTTTACATCGTCCAAGTAGCGAAAACATCTTAGTTAGTCTAAAATCTCATATCTTTCTAAAAACAACATGCCATGACTTCTTAGCAACAGACACAACAACAATATCGTTTCCATACTGCAGGAAATGCTCATAACATTCATACTCTTCGTAAATATTAAGGGGTTAAAACATTCGCTTTCTATGATTATAAAGGTAGCAACCCCGCCTATTTGAAGGGCAGTCTATACAGTTTTTTATCTTCCATTTCTAATTGATAGCACGTGCATTACTTCCTCCGTGCCACGTGGCCAGCGGAATTATTAAAATATTCGTTCCACAGCTAACCGATATAAGTGGCCCACGCAAACAAAAATACGGGATATAGGAGCTGGTTTGTGCATACGTAAATGCATCAGGGATGTTATGGATATCCGTAACCGCAACCTAAACTTTCGGTTACTTATCCGAAATAAAAAAATATCCGAAACCGTAACCGTAACCGATTCATAAGTTTCCGATAGTTTCGGATGTAGACAGTTTAAATATCTTTTTGTGTATAGCATTATATGTAAAGGCATATGAGCCTGATTAACCTTTATAATGCCATCTAGTACCTATCAATTTTTTTTTTTACTTTTTATCCGACGAAAAGTGTGCGGCCATGAATGAACCCCGTGTTGGACAACTATTATAAATTGCATTCTAAAGCACAGATATCCGTAACCGTAACCGAAACTTTCGGATATCCGAAATAAAAAAATAACCGTAACCGAAACCGGTACAATATTATTCCTATATCCGTAACCGTATCCATAACCGAAACTACATATCCATAACATCCCTAAAATGCATTCTCAAAGACAACCTTCATTTGCCCTTATCTTATTAACTTAATAATGACCCACATTATGCCCAAACATTCAAGAACGTCTATTGTATGTACGCTATCTGTGAACTGATTAGATTGAACATGTCTTTGATGTCCCATTATAATAATAATTACAGCGTGATAATTATCAATTAATTGGACCGTTACCAGGTCAAACTAATAAACAAAATTTCAAGTTAATAGGCCTTGTTACAGTTGTTTGATTTGATATACGAGTATTTAATTCTAGATTATACATATTGTTTGTCAGAATTCAAATTGATTGGGTGTTTAATATCAATTTAAATGTAGGTATGTGATATTTCAAATGATTGAAAATTAATATTTATGAGGTTATTAATATTCCTAGACTTATAAAAAAGGACGACTACTACATTAAACATACTCGTATATATTGTCATTAATGAAGATAAGAAGTAAAGGTCTACCGTACTTCATTCTTTCGCAATAAGACTCATATTATTATTAAACGAGACTCGGGAAATATTTAAGTGAATTATTTCAGACTTGAATCCATTATGTCTTTGAGTAGTTTCATAGGATCCGTATTTTACTGAACGAAGCTCGAAACTCGATTCAAACTCAGTTATTTATAGATTCGGTCCTATATTCAAACAATCTATATGTTTTCTTCCTATGATTCAACCAATCTACGAGTATGCTTGCGATTGAATCTCGTTCGTTCGTTTTTCATACGGACCTCGTCTTGCTATTCATCACAACTTGACGTGCACTTTCATTAATAACTTCCTCGCTCTACTTCATAAACACGTCGAGCCGAAAATAGACGGCCCAGATGTTTTCCTGGCTTTTTTCGCTGTGACAAAAACTTGTCGCGGTCCTACGTGGGAACTTTCGGCTGAAAAAAACGCTTGCAGATGTTGGTAGGCCCTCAATAGATCCTCACGAGACCTCTCCATGTCCGATGCCACGTGTGTCACAGGAAGACAACGTTGCTATTTTTTTTTATTTTCTGCAGACGCGTGCCACTTGTCAGCTAACGGACTGTGAAATAGACCTGTTTTTACGTCGAGGGTGGATAGTCTTTTGTTTTACACGACCGTCAGTTGTTCTCGCTTGTAAGTACAAGTATATTTTAATGATGATAGTAAATAATTACAGGGCTCGTTAGGCACGTGTTTTAATTACTTACAACTTTCTTTCATGTTTATTGTCAATGGTTGAAGGAAAACGATGTAAGGATTTTACTGTCAAGGATTTTGGTGGGGCTAAGGCAAAGAAATGAGTATGTAAAGTCTCACTTTATATTTTCATGTTATTTATACAAACCTTAAGAAAAATCTACTTAGACTTACCCTAATGAAACACTACATATTTACAAAACTAGCAATCTGTATGTAATCTTAGAAGGTGACTTATAGAGTAAATTTTTCCACTTTTTATCATAATCTCATATGTATACAATCTTTTTAATGCATTTTGCATAATGTTTACATTAATTTGTATTTTGAGTTTCAAGATAGTGATAGCTTTACCAATAGTAAAATATTAAGCAGTCTGTGAACAAATACATACAACTGCTTACATAATGATGACCTCGGGTAAATTACTCATTCAAATCACATTAAACTAACATTTGACCCTTACGGATTCGAACCTGCTACCGTAGCCTGGCGTAGTGCTATAATCCGGTAGGCAGGTCAATCACTAGGCCAGACGGCTGTCAAAACTGACCTTGCTTTTTATTAATCATTGGAACAACATAATAAAAATACAGATAACGATTTCGTAATGATAGTAACTACCTATGTCAACATTGATAACTTATGCCTTAGGTTAAACTACATCCGAAAATTATAATTTAAAAACTTATTTCACAATGATTTCATGATATCGACTTTCTATGAACAATTTCCATTGAGTTTCTGATGACCTAAACATAATTAAGTATATGATTTTTACCTCGATTTCATATTAAATTAAATACCTAAAAGAATTTGATTCTACAAATCTAGTTTTAAAGCACGAAAACTGACTATTTTTTATTTGTTCTTATGTTCTAAAATTACAATTTGAATGCATCTAAAGAGATCTCGTTTAATTTCAAATGCTATTAAATTAGAACACATTCAGTGTGCCTACCATGAGTTTACGTTAGGTGAGCTCGCTAGCGAATACGTCAAAAAATTATATGAAGATTTTATTTCTTGAAAGTAGCCGCTAGGGGCGCTGCACAATATGTCATACATTTAAATGTCATTTTATTACGCAGTCGCTAGCGAGCACACCTAACGTAAACTCATGGTAGGCACACTGGTTAATTTCATACAGGCGATTTACCATTAATTTGTGTTTTTTCTTCAATCTCTTCTTTTTTCGATTTCCTAAAGTATTCTTCGATTTGTAACAAAGTTTTCCCTCTAGTTTCGGGGAGGTAGAAGAATAAAAATATCGTGCCTAATAAAGTAGATATGCCATAGAATAAGTAAGCCCCATTATGACCTATGCTCTCGAACATATACGGAGCTGTTTTTATGGTCCCAAAGAAAGCCACTGACGTCATCATCACACTTATACCCGACCCTAATCCCTTAGTTTCCGAGGCAAACAACTCGCCGACCATATTCCAAGGTAACGGCGATATCCCCAAGTTTGATACTATTATGTAAATTGCCATTAGACCTAAAGAAATGACCCTTGACATGTGTCTAATAACACGAGCATCCACCAAGTAGAGGTATACAGCTAAAGTTATCAATGATAAGGTTGTAAAAATTCCACTAAATAGGGCCAGAGGTCGGCGCCCACATTTCCTCAGTACGACACAGGCCGCGACCAGTGACGCACACCGCAAAATATCAACACTTAACATGGCGGCGTACGCAATAGACTTGTCCGTGTGCCTGCCCATTAGCTCCGTCATCATCTCGGTGGTATAAGCACAAATCACATTGATACCAGAAAGCTGCGTAATTAGGAAGAAGATCATCATTATAGCTAACGGCTTCCAAAATTCCGGTTTCTTGATATTTTTCGACAACGCCTGCATCTTTGATTGGGTTCTGTCTTTTTTACTTTGTTCGAAAATCATTCTATCTAGTTCAGTCTTCATTGCTGGACTCGTGCCTCTGTACCATTGGAATGATTTGATACAATCGTCGATTCTGTTTTGGGATGCGTACCAGACTGGGGATTCTGGTGCAAAGTATGTGATGATGGTGCCCACGAGAGGGAATATCGCGCAGAGCAACGCAGCGATGTTCCATCGAAGGAAGGTGCCAAAGAGATGTGATAGGAAGACACCTACAGCTATGCTTAGTGAGAGCGATGCGAGAAGGAACCCTCTGTAGTCTGGGGAGCTCAATTCTGCGACGAACACAGGACTGACAGGCCCCAGCCATCCTTGGCAGAGCCCTGTGATGAACCTTCCCGTCAATATCAATCCTAATACGTCATTCGAGAACGCGATGATCCCCCATCCCAACACAAAACATAGTCCGCACAGAAACTGCGACCTTTTTCGACCGAGTCTGTCCATTAGGTATCCAGATATTATGTTTCCAAATATTAATGCAAATGATGACATGGACGCTGAAACAAAAGGTTAAACGTGTTAATTAAAATTATTAAATTTTAAGCATCCGCGTTGCATAATTTGTTCATTAAATATGGGAAAATGCGGCACCACATTCTTATTACTTAGATAAGTCTTACTTAATAAGTCACCTTTTAATCGTGTGACGTTTCAACTAGATTACACTGCCCGTGGTCAAAGGCTGAATAGGCTTTAATTCTTTTATTAACTCTTAAATTTTAATTGAAGATACTTTTTTTAAACAAATCTTCTTACCTATCCATGATACCATGCCTATTGAATATCTGTGGTGGTGCCCTTTGCCATGTTGTAGTTGTGGAATGAGGATCGCAGAGAAACCAGCCGTCGCTCCGGCAGATAAGGTAAGCAGGAAATTCCCTGTTGAGACTAAAACCTGAAAATAATAAAACAATTTCGTTCTTATTTTGTTCCATGAAAGACTAAATAACCAACTCAGTAAAAGATGTTTTTATCGTACTTGTACTTTTATATGAATTTGAATCTATTTATTGATAGTTAACGTCCTCTAGTGAACATTGGCCTCCCCCAATGATAGCGGCCTGCATTCAGCACCTTTCTGCTACCTTAATGTGGTCGATCCACCTAGGTATATACTCTGCCTAGTATTATAAATTATTTATTTATTAAATATTTATGTAGAGCAGTAAAATTTGCGAAAATAGTATGTATTTGCTTAAGTATCCGACAGTAAAGTTAACAGAGAGTTAAGTTCAGAGGACTAGAGCACGTGTAACCTCGTACTTGCATTTATCATTCAGTAAACATTACATAGTGTATAACTACACTATTTAAAAGTAAAACAAAGAGCATAATGTTGAATCAAATAAAACTTGATTCACCCAAAATGAAAAACACGAAATAAAAGTTATACCTACTCAATTTCGTAACCCCAGTTTTGCTAATGTAATTTTAAGAATATTACACCATAATCAATTTTATCAATTCCCTTTATAATAAACGTAGTTTGTATAAACTCTTCGTTTCCACCAACGAAACAGGTTTTCCTATGTACCTACCTACTACATCCAGATGAAAGTACATACCTAATGACATAAATTAATAACTCCTTACTAACTTCACAAATTGCAAATTCACTAACTCTTAGGCTGGGTTGCACCATCTTACTTTAACTATAACAAACGTCAAAATTCTGTCAAACTCCATACAAAAACACCGGTTATCGTTATATTTACGGTCAAAATTAGGTCGTCTTAGCCGTAGTGAAGAACGCGTGGAAAATAATAATTTAGCTATGTGATAGTGATATGTCATAGATTAGTTTACACAACATGGAAGCCACTGGAATTTTTCATTCAATAATAAACATTTTTTGTATTAGAACCGTTTGATTTGGCCTCTGAAAGTTTTTTGCCCATTAAGAAGATAAGCAAAGATTGGGGACGACATTCGCCAAAACATTTAGTTGATAAAAAATATTATGTTTTGTTATGTAAATGGAACGTGTTGGTATAGGTTAATGTAATAAATAAATAATGGACATAATTTTCGAGAAATATAAGAACACTTTTTATGCTATAAATTATTCTTTAACTTTCGAATATATGAAGTTTTCGCTAATATAAAAGTACAGTTTCTTAAAATTAAACGGTCTACCTATAAGATGTTTTGTTTTTAGATAAGGACGATTGGACAGTAACAATGATATTTAAAAACTAAATAATATGAGCAATGGTAGCGACTTTAAATCTTACTTATACATATGTACAAAATAGTACTATAGATTAGCTTGCGACCTACTTATGAATGACGCCAGCCACATGATTTGCGTAAATAACACCAAATCCTATAACTAATCTTTACAACTTTTCATTAAAATTCTTTTTAAATTGTAGTTTAGTAGTTCTACACATACATACCTACACGGATATGTATGTGATAGTGTTTACGTCAATTTAGTCTAATTCCCCGGAATAGTAATTAATATAATATTTACATACACACTTACCTATATTATATGTCATTCTAAAATCTAAACGAATCACTTAGCTCTTGTGATATGAATAAAACGAGATAAGACGAATCAATTTGCTCTTTGTCTGAAAACCTTGATATTGTAAGTATGTAGGTTCAATCTCAGAGGCTACATTGTTGAGAAAATATCTAACTATATCTCTTATCCGGCATAGACAATACTTTGATAAGTAGACTTGCGTAAGTACCTCATATGAAATCAGATAGAACTCGGTTACATCAAAATTATAAGTAGGTACATACTTAAAATCTCTGCTAATACATTTTGGCGATTTGAACATAGTTATAAAAATCGAGTGAGACAAAGATTAAACTATCATAAAGATTTATTTTATTTACTTTGTCATCAAAGCACTATGCACAGATAATAAAGCACAGCTGATGGAAAAGTAGCATTTTTACAGGCGTGTTATTTTGCATCCAAACTGTATCTTCTGTTCTTTCGACTCTAGGTACCACGCACACACGGGTCATTTTAGTTGTTGAACAATATTATTCCGCAACATGTCGCTACATTTTTCCCCTGGGCTTTGAACTTGTCGTTCCATTTTCCCCCTGGTGCGTCCAAAGCTTTAAACAGCCTAACCCGGAGATCTGAGTTTTGTAATATTTTAATCAAGCATCGTTGTAAAACGTATTTCTTATCTGATAAATACACGAATTTATTGTACACTCGAATGTACTCAACAAAGACGAACTTTGATTGACATTGAACTTTAAACAAACCAGAATGACCTAGAAGTGTAATGTCTGTTCTTTGTCTCTTTATTTTTAACTGAAAGTTTTTATTGATATCTAATCTATCTTCATTAATCTTTGAATCGCCTTTCTAATGCCCGTTTTCACCATCAATCCTTAATTTTTAAGTGACCCCTTCCTGCCTATGCCATGGTAACACATAACAGGTATTTTGTAATCAAAGGGGTCACTTAGAAAACTTCCTTATTGGATTAGTGGGGTAGTAGATTCATTAATGAAATTTTAATTTGAAAATATTATTTTAATTTATGGTCTTAGAAGATGCAATGAAGAATTTAGGAACAGTCAAAGTAAATGATGTCGCAATGAAAGAAAATTAGAGGAAGCTGGCGAAGGAAGTCTAATTGTACTAGATGCTAATAATTGTCTACCGAAGTCAATTCAGTAATTTACTAATCATCGTCAATGACTAATCAGTGCAACTTCATTTGGATGATTCATCATTCATTCATTTACCTACTGTAAAACCCTTTGTTGACAAACTTGTCTTTTGTTAAGAAAATTGAAATGCCGACTTTTGCATTGATTATTTAGAGCACCTACCTATTATATTAAAAGGTGTCTTGTGTGACATTAGTAGGTAAATATTATATTATGTTTGATTGCGAAAGTCATTAAATATTATTAGAAATGCCATCAGTGTTTTATTGGTTAGTTAAATTTAGAGAAATGAAACTGGTGGTTAGTTTTAGATTAGGGATTTTTAATATCATTATGTCTTTTAATTATTTTAATTTCCATACAAATCTGATTTTATAGATTTTATTTTGTATGAAAATTAGAATGATGACTTATCACATTTTTGACTTCACCATACCATTTAATGCTTAATATTATGTTAACATGGGCTAGTGTTGGCTTATAAACCCATTTACCTAACACCCTGTAAAAAGTGTGACCTTAAAACTAATTATTAAAATGCCTACATATTTGTCTTAAAGTCATTGTAAAGATTACCGCGATCATGATCATGAACATGAAGATATAATGTGTCGCTATGTAACTTAAAGATTAAATTGTATGTACGAGTATACTTTTTTATTATTCATAATGTTATGATATTATATTATTTTATAGTAATCGACCGACATATTTTATGAATTTATTTAATTGTGTACAGATAACTTTTTACTCAATATTTTTATTATTTCATGTTGTACAAACGCAGAACAAATATTTTGGAAAAAATTGGTTTTTCAACTTATGTTTTTGTCACATGAACGAACACCCATTTACTAAATCATATTACAAAATATAATATCTAACAGGGGTACTTAATACTTAATAAAATGTAAATTGCTTCAAATTTATGGATATCCAATATATATTTTTCCTTGAAACTGAGATTTCATAAACTAAAAGGTCAAAGAAGAAAAAATACTCATAATACAAAGTGACAATGACCACGGTTGATATTAAAAATCCTATGCATGTTTTAATTTTATAATTTAGACCTTAACACCCAGACATAAGGTGCATTAACTTGCACGATTAAACTGACTTTCTAAAGCACTCAACAAAACTTAACCGCCCAAACCGGTTTCAGTTTTAAAACAAAATACACTTGTCAGTTTGTACGTATTGCATTTCCATGAAGACATTCCTATTAACTTCAAAGAATCGTCACATGATTTAATCGAAAATTATTTCAATACACGTGGCAATTAGTTTAAAATATAATTAATAAACCTATGTTTAAGTTTTCAAACATACGTTACTTGATTTAGAAATAACTGAAAGAAAGTAAACGTCACAGGAAGAAAAGCAGAATTTGTTAAAAAAAGTATTTTAAATTGCTCTTAATCGCCTCTTAATTGCTGTAAATTAAGCTTCGAAACTAAAAACTACTTGATCCCAATTTAAAAAAAAACATAAATAAAAGTGTCTTAAAACTGCTTTTCTTTAAGATAGCATTATCAAAATCTCAAATTGTACACACAAGCACTCAATGAATGAAAAATCGTAATGATACGCACATTTCCTTCGATTGGATATTTATCAATGAGAAAGAAACAAAACACGTACTTTCACACATTCACAAATGACCACATACACTATTTCCACACACCTGTCTCCTGAAATAAGTTGTAGTATCCCGTTCATTACTAAAGTCCGTTTTTTTCTCACATACTCCATTTTCCGTTCCATTTTTGATTATTTTTTCTAACTCGGGCACTCCCTCGTGGTCCATCTTATAAGGTTCGTCACACACTGCACCGCGTTCGGAACCAAACGTCATTCTTATAAACTACAGCGGATCACACTCTATCTTATCGCGCGATGCTTACACTATCCTGTTACGTTTCATTATATTATTTAGGCCCGATTCGACCAAACTTTTATCCGAGAATAACTCCTGGTATTTTCAGTGTGGGAATTAAGTCAAAACTGATGATTTATTCTGATATTAATATTTAGATACTCTTGATTGGTCGAATCCACCCTTAATATTTTTCGTCAGTATCACAGTGGCCTATTCAGTCATAGTCGCACTGAAAAAGAGACTGCTTTTAACTGTCGAGCTGTTTAGAATCAATTAAAAATACGAACAGTATAAACGTGACATTCTTTATCTTTCAAACGTTTTAACTGACGATACAAAAATAGCTAATTTACATGTGACTGGTGACTTCAGAACATTTTTTTGTAGTTCTTTAAAACCAACAACTTCTCAACTTAAATAAATTAACAAAGACTCTTGTCAAGCAGGTGGCGTAATCCCTACAAGACGTTTCCATGCAATTTATCATAAGTTTTCAGGAGTCCAATGAAAGAAAATAAAATACATTACTTGATTTTCCTAAAAATGTCAGCTGCACTGAAGCTGCAAATCAAATCTAATAAATTTAATTTGCGAACATGGGTATTACAAGTAGGTGTTACAAGTATTTTAGTATCTCCATGTTTACCAAGATACCTTTTTGATCGAATGACCTCTGAGAATTTTTATGGTTTTAAAATAAAAGAGCACTGCACTTTGCCTTTGGTATCACATTGGCATCACAAAATGCATTTAATGAATTAAACACAGGTAAGCATTGCAACGGATTAGTAAGCTGAAGTGGCAATGGGCAGGGCATATAGTACGCAGAACTGACGGCCGATGGAAAGCGCAGCGTAGGACGTCCAGTCCACCCACAAGGTGGACCGACTACCTCATAAAGGTAGCGGGAAGGCGTTGGATGCAGGCCGCCACCAACCGGCCACTGTGGAAATCATTGGGGGAGGCCTATATTTAGCAGTGGACTTCCTATGGCTAAAACGATGATGACGATGATGATGATGAAGCATTGCAAGCAACAGGATTTGTTTATCATCAATTAGTAAAAATACGGAGTAGGTACTTACTTCCCGACGATCTGGTGAAGGTCGTGGGAAGTATCTGGATGCGGGCAGCGCAGGACCTGTCGTTATGGAAATCCAAGGGGGAGGCCTTTGTCCTGCAGTGGACGTCATTTGGCTGAAACGAACGAACCTCCCAAGACACCCGAATGAAATTTTTCGTAGAAATCTACACCCTATTACCCCATATCGTATGCACTACTTAAAATTAATCGTTGATTTACTGTTGTAGGTATTTCGTTTGTATAAAGGACAATGACCAAAAGTGGTCCAAATGTCCACCACTAATGAGACCTACATATATTGGCTTATAGTCCATTAAATAGAGATTAACTTTCAGTATGGGACGAAAAAAAAATAAGCTGTCAGTAAAAAGTTATGACTGTATGAAAAATTGTAGTAGTTTACGCGCTAATATCAGGAACTACTAGTCCGATTTGAAAAAATATTTTTGTTATGGATAGCCCATTTATCAAGGATGGTTTAAGGTTATATAATATCACCCTACAACCAATAGGGGCGGAGCAGCGACCACCCGACCATAATTCTAATATTGTTGTCTTTCTTCTGAGCTTTTTTTTTTTCTTTTAGCGAGAATGTAACACGGCACACTAAGCGACATGACATAACATGCATAGATTAATCCAAAATGTGCGATGGATAGAATGATATCAAGAACATTTTTCGGATGAAAAGGTAAAAAACTTGACTTTTCATTCAGTATAACTTTTTACTGACAGTATGTTTTTGATTGCGGTTTGGTTATAATGAATGAGTATTTAGTAGACTATTTTACTACATAGGTCTCGTTAGTGGTGGACATTTGGACCACACTCCATACATTTTTGGTCATTGTCCTTTTGAATAGTAGGTATGTTAAGAAACTAAGTATATTTGAAGGCCTACAAATAATTTATTTGACTAAATATTAAGACTCATTTTTTACCCGATTGCGCAACAAGGAAGGGTTAAAGTGACCTAATTATATTTAAAAAAAAAAGATAAAACTAAACTTCTCATTCGATTGTGAGCTTAAAATAAACTTGAAACTCCTACGAGTTTAATGCTTGCAAATGCTACGATCGAAGACTTAGTCTGAAGATCAATTGGTGATTTACAGGATTAGGTATTTTATGTAGGTACTGTAAAAAAAACGAATTCTTGGTAAGTTTAACTTTTAGTGTTCGAGACAAAAATTGTAATTGCAAATTGAGTGTTACATAACAGAAAAAATAGATAACAAGTAATTGAGCTCGTTACCTTATTTTTAAATATTTCACGGAATATAATTTTGTATCTTCTTAGCCATGTAATATGCGTGTAGAGGCAGACACGCAAAAATTAAATATTAGGTAAACCTTACGTAACTTTGGGAATTAATTGTTTACTTTAAATACAATAATTGCACAAGTGTACAGTTATTATTTCAGATTAGGAATTTCAAGTAGGCACACCTTATATAAATCGTACTCGTATGTACTCGCACTTAATAAGTGTGTAAATTCTTTCGATCTTCTTCTTAATTTATATATTTTTCATACCATGCAATTGACTGTATCTCTAATACAGATATTCTCCAGAGTACAATGATAATGTGAGGTTAATTTAAGCTTGAAATAACACCACACTAGAAACAATTCTTACTTACCTAGAGTGAAAATTGACATAGTTAGACATTGGCAGAAATAAACCTACTAGAGAGGTTTGGTTGCCATAAAAAAAAAAAAAAAACTTACCTAGAGTGACTTTAAATTTCTTGTGTCCCCTCTGAGAATTGAACCCCGGATCCGACTCGAGAAAGCCTTCTAATCACTTGACCACATAATTCCGATGAAAAAGTAAAATAAATACACGAAATAGTCTATCTTCCGCATGCGCTTGCAATGCGACTTGTGTACAGAAAAATTGTACAAATGCAAATAAGTAGTTTGTTCCGTACATAGGCCCCTTCCAGGGCACTTACCTATACACGTCCCAAATATAGCATGGTAGTAGCTGGTGGTAGGGCCACCAGTTCAGGAAAACATATGGACTGGTGCAGAGAAGAAGTGGCGGATGAAACTCAGTCACCTATGTCAGCTGTTTGTGTAGTTCAATCTATCTATCTATCTATATCAGCCTTTAGGGGTTTTGCCTTCGAACATAGGCCTCCTCTTCAACCCTCCACCGACTTCTGTCCCTGGCCACACGCATCCAGTTCACTCCAGCCTGCTGCCGGATGTCGTCCACCGTTTAGGCGGTCTTCCCCTGCCGCGGGTATTGTTGCGGGGTCTCCACTCCAGGGTCTTTCTGGCCCAGCGATCCTGTGCCCCGATTGTGCTAATTTTTAACGTCACCAATTCATTGGCGCTTCTTCTCCAGTTGCGCTCAGTTTTTCATTCTAACTGAGGTTCAAATTCGATATCACGGTCTTAGACGTACCTTCCTAGTATTTTCATTGTCACATAAGATATTTAGCTAAAATCGTAGGTCGATTTCGAAGTTCAAGTGTTGGTTGCACTACCTACTTTTGACAGAAATTAATGACGTTTACTTTGTTTTGAAGAATTTTCTAACTTTACTCGAAGCTGTTTACGTCTATGCTTCGTTTCAACTAACTGTCAAATAGCGAAAGCTTCCTATTGGTTTGCGATGGCATTTTGACTAGACCCACAGATGTTCGTTCGTCGTCCGGGCGCGTTGAAGATGAAAATTTTTAGCGCAATCGGGGCCCTGACTCTTCCGTGCAATGTGCCCTGCCCATCTCCATTTACGGCTCTCAATCTCTTCCACCACGTCGCTACAAGAGAGTTCACGCTTCAAGAGAGAGAGAGTGGTGGAAGAGTAGTTCAATAAAACCTAAAAAAACTAATTAGGTTCCAAATAATTAATATATCAAACAAATAAGCTAAATTCTTTTAATTATAGTCTTATGCATGTATAAATAGGTGCTAATTTATAACAATATGTTTAGTCTGAATTACAAAATATACTAGATAAAATTAACCGATATTTAGAGTTCAAGGCGCCTATGATCGCCTAGATACACACATACAAGGATTTCGTGATTTCTCTTGCTTTAAGACTTGCGTGAATATTTACGATTCGGCCTTTAACCTGCTGTAAAATAATTATAACAATATATTAGACTCGTACATTTTCTTTGGATCTCTCGAACGAGGTAGACATATCGTGGATGCTGATTGAAATCTCAAAATTAAAATTATTTTTGGAGTAAATAAAGTGTATCAGGTATGTGGCTTTATGGGAACACCGAACACGTTATACTTCATAACAAACAATTTATCTAAATTGGAAAACCGCACGAATAAATTTATCGGTTTACCACACCATTAAAACTAAAAAAAAGGGTTAAAATAAACTCAATCTAAAAATTTCCTTGGTTAGGTAACTAATCCATTCTTTATTTATTCTTGGCTACACATTTATAGCGCTGTCTATTTTCAAATGAATTAGACTTAGTTATGTATTCAGCAATTATCTAGTCAACATGAGGACATTGTTGTCACATGAGTTAAGCTTATCTTAAAGTTAATCTTAAGGCTCATTAATTCTTAGCTCTTCAATTAGTACATTTTAGACGACTATGATAGACTGATTTCATATAGAGTTTAAGGCCGAGTTGCACCAACTTATTTTGACCGTAACTTTAACAATAACCGGTGCTTTTTGTATGGATTTTGACAGATTTTTGACGTTTGTCAAAGTTAAAGTAAGATGGTGCAACCCAGCCTAAGGCTCTGTCATGCAGTTTAATTCTATGGCACATCTTTTTTGAAATAAACTATTCTATTATTTTCTAAAATCACTGAATTCTCTTCGTAAATGAATGTAGATACTAAACTATAACTTGATTTTTATTTGTTGAGAAATCAATATAATTGTATAAATTGTGACGTCATTGGCATCGTTGAAAACCTTAAGGATCTCTACATTAAAGTCAAAACTCCCTTTTTTGTGTCTTGTAACTTACCTACATAATACAACGTGAACGGCAAAATAAAAAGATCAAATGTTGAACCCAATACAAATTAAATAAACAGAAACTCCGATAAGAAAACGGCAATTCCAAATAAAGATTATTGTTACTATAATTCCATAGTTTCTTAATATTATGCAATAGACCTCATGAAAAATTCGGCTGAATGTGTACCAAATACCTATTGATTTACGTAACAAAGCTAATGTTTAACAGGTCATATCTAAAAATTGCTGAATAAAAGTAATAATAAGAAAGAAAAACATGTAACCGTCTAATTTAATTATATCTTCAGCAATAGTGTTAAAAATGACTAAAGCGGCTGAATTTGACTGACCGTCATTTACGGTCAAATTGGTCAAAAACTAGTCATAAACTGTCAGTAAAATGTAGTTTTAAAGATGTTTCTTAGATTTTTTGATTGATGAAAGTTTACAACATCTTAATTAAAAATAAAAAGTGGTTTGTAATGATTTATTACAGCTAAACATTTTACAGTGAGCGTACAACCAGTGTAAAAACAATAAGTGTTTTGTAATGATTTATTGCACTCTCTTTCTGTCCCTCCTACATTATTATACTTATGTACCGCGCACGTCGACTTTGATAACGTCTTATACTCTCACAATTTAAATAAATTATTCGGTGCTAGTATTATTATATCTGAGTCAAACTGACTGAATTTGACCGTTTTTGACCGGTCATTTATGCTTTTTGACTATCTTGGCCGGTCAGATTCAGTCAATTTACATCTCTATTAATTTAAGCAATTAAGTTCATATCGCTTATATATTTTTGTATCGGAGTGTACTGACTTAGTTTTTTCTCGATTGCATTGTCAGCGGTTTACATTTTGATTGCTAGTATCTTTTAGGACAAATTGAGATTAGAATTGAACATGAAATAAATCATTGTTCTTTGGGCAGTCACGTAGCATGTGTTAATTTATTCTCCAGTAATTAGAAGTAGCGTAAAAATACCAGTGATTATAAAGGTAGGTTACAATAATAACAAGTAACAAAAAGACAAACAACTTTGTTATCGATCTAGTTTACTATATTGGGACTCATACACTGTAGATATTTATTCGTTTCCAGAGCACATTTAGCGATATTTCGTGTAATTTTCCACCCTCAGTCATCGAGGGCAGTGACCATGTCAAATGTTAATGAAATTCATATCGATTGTTCCCTTACTTTAATTTTATGTGATTTTACCGTTTTTCAGTTGTTCATGTGCTCGAATAACATTAACAACTTCGTTGTCCCAATTCAATTGTTGGAAATTACATTACCTGAATACATAACATTTTCCAGGGTTTGAATTTTTTCAATTATTTCAGCATCGAAATGTCGACCGTCTTAGAAGAGGTCCCAGGCTACCACTTCAGTGCAGGCCGCCTTCTATCCTATGCTCTGATTCTGCTTACCTCTGGGCTGATTCTGCTGTATCGCAAACAGCAGAAATCTAAGCTCTACAGATTAGGCAATAAAATCCCTGGACCAATATCCTTGCCCATATTTGGAAATGCGCTTCTGGCAGTCGGGAAGAAACCATCAGGTAAGATTGTGACCTATTAATTTTTAAACAATTTTCTTAATATTTTCCTGCGCAGCTAACCCTAATTAACTGTCCAAGCATACAAGACACAATTTTGAAGAAAAAACTTAACTTTCAAAAAATCTGTCGTAAAATACAAGATAGGTACTATGCTTTGTTATTTATATGACTTTGCACTACAGATTTTGCGTATAAAATTATCACTTCACGGGATTTTACAACAAAAAATGTATATAGTAATATATTTTATGCAATAGTTTAAAATATTAGATTTAGCGTAACCGAATAAAATTTTCTTTTTATTCAACCTTTTGTAATTTCAATATAATATCATTGTTTCAGAATTAGTAAAAATAAGTTTAGAATATGCGGAAATATACGGCGACGTGGTTCGCGGTTGGCTCGGCTCGAAGCTGTTAATCTTCTTGGTAGACCCCGTCGATGTGGAGGTCATCCTGAACAGCCATGTTCATATTGACAAGTCTTCGGAATACAGATTCTTTAAGCCATGGCTTGGGGAAGGACTGCTAATTAGTTCAGGTATGTCATCCCAACTAATATTATAAATGCGAAAGTAACTCTGTCTGTCTGTCTGTCTGTTACGCTTTCCCGCTTAAACCTCGCAACCGATTTTGATGAAATTTGGCATAGAGATAGTTTGAGTCCCGGGAAAGAACATAGGATAGTTTTTATCCCGGTTTTTGAAACAGGGACGCGCGCGATAAAGTTTTTCTGTGACAGACAAAATTCCACGCGGGCGAAGCCGCGGGCGGAAAGCTAGTTATATTATAGTTCTATAGTAACATCAATATTGAAAGCTTTCATGAGGATTCGCTGCAGGAGAAAGATCTTCTGTAATTATCCAGACGAAAGTTTTTTGGCATACACCTCTTAGCTGCCTAGGGTTGGAGAAACCTGATTTCCACTTACAGTATAGTTTATAATCATCAAATTATCATTAAAACAATCGTTTTAAAGCTGCTCATACATTTTCATATATTTCTTTAACGCTTTTTGTCATTTATCATAGTGCAAAAGTTACAAAAGAAATTAACGTTTTAATTCACTTCGGAGGTGGAATTGTGTAAAGCAATCGTAATCATTTATCAGTTCTTATCGTACGATAAAGTCAGTTAAACAAAGCGTTTGACAGAATAATCGTACGTTATGAACTGTCAAGTGATAACGATTGCTTTACACAATACCACCTCTGGTGTCATTATTAGGTAATAGAAAATAATATTAATAGAACTAGCGGCCGCCCGCGACTTCGTAAGCGTGGATCCCGTTTTACTCCCTTTATCTATCTTACGCGGTTTAGAGTTTTTCATACAAATGTTTTTTCCCGCTAACTCCCGTTCCCGTGAGAATTTTGCAATATCCTGTTGCAACTAAGCTTTAAATTTACTAAGGTACCTGCATGCCAAATTTCAAGCGTCTATCTTACGTGGCTTAGATTTTTTCATACAAATGTTTTTTCCCGCTAACTCCCGTTCCCGTAAGAATTTTGCAATATCCTGTTATAACTAAGCTTTAAGTTTACTAAGGTACCTGCATGCCAAATTTCAAGCGTCTAACTTAAGCGGTTTAGATTTTTCATACAAAAGGATTTTCCCTCTTGTTACCGTTTCCGTGGGAATTTCGGGAATTCCTTGTTGTAACTAAGCTCTAAGTTTACTAAGGTACCTACATGCCAAATTTCAAGCGTCTAACTTAAGCGGTTTAGATTTTACATACAAAAGGATTTTCTCGCTAATTCCCGTTCCCGTGGGAATTCCTAAGTATCCTATAACCTGCCCAGGAGTATGAAGAATAATTGTACCAAGTTTCGTTAAAATCCGTCGAGTAGTTTTTGTTTCTATAAGGAACATACAGACAGACAGACAGACAAAAATTTTACTGATTGCATTTTTGGCATCAGTATCGATCACTAATCACCCCCTGATAGTTATTTTGAAAATATATTTCATGTACAGAATTGACCTCTCTACAGATTTATTATAAGTTTAGATAGGAGTCACAGGACAATTATTATACATATAATAATGAACTAATTTTTAGGTGCCAAATGGAGATCGCACCGAAAAATGATAGCGCCTACATTCCACATCAACATCTTGAAATCCTTCATGGGGGTTTTCAACCAGAACAGCAAAAATGTCGTTGACAAACTGCGATCTGAAGTTGGAAAAACATTCGACGTACACGACCACATGAGCGGTGTCACCGTGGACATTTTACTTGGTAAGCAATTTTAATATTCGGTCAACGATTACTTAGCGCATAATGAATTTTATTTTAAGCTTTGTTGTTGAAAACAAGGCAGTGTCAGCAATGATTAATCACTAATGTTGACACTGATTTCAATATTGCATGCTATTGTTGAAATGTAGGTAATTAGGTAAGTTTTGGGTTGCCTCTTTATTTTGTTATCATTTACAGAAACAGCTATGGGAATTACTAGAAAGACTCAAGATGAATCTGGCTTTGATTATGCTATGGCAGTAATGAAGTAAGTTATTTCTGCTAAGACATTTTTATAATAGCTTAACCTAATGGTACCAATATTCTTATTCTTAAACTATCAGGCATAATTAAGTCTTTTTACTTGTATGTCTGACAACTGAAGTCACAATTTTCGATCAGAAATCACGAGTAGTCACATATTTTAATTAATGACTAATTTTATCTTATTCGCAGGATGTGTGACATTGTCCACCAAAGGCATTATAAATTCTGGCTCCGGCTCGACTTCATTTTTAAACTGACTCCATTCTTCAAAAAACAGACGAAACTGCTGAACATTATACATGGACTCACAAATAAAGTAAGACCATTTTCAAAAATTGTGTAATATAGCAGGTTTTTTTTAATTTGGTCATATTGAAGTTTAGAGAGAGCGCGGCGCTAACGGTTTACGCGTTGCTCTCGCCTCCGTGTAGTAGATTTGATGATTGATCTTTTTTAGGTGATAAAGAGTAAAAAGGAAACTTTCTTAGCAAATAAGGCTAAAGGAATAGTGTCCCCAACTATAGAAGAGTTAACTAAAGACGTTAAGAACAAAAAACCCAATGAAGACCCCAATAAAACGATATCTGATAGTGTATTCAAGGGTCTTCGTGATGATTTGGACTTCATCGATGAAAATGACGTGGGTAAGTGTTATTGTTGCGACAATTCATTGTTTTTATCACTCATAAATATTAATTAGGACAGCCATATCTACATTACAATTAAGGCACCTAATTTACTTGTAAATGACGTTATCCTTTCATTTTGCATTTAATATTCTTAACTTACGAGTACTATTTTTTTAAGTAAGACTATACAGAATAAATAGGTAATACAGAAATTGGTAAAGATTTTTTTTTTATAATTACAGGTGAAAAGAAACGTCTTGCCTTCCTGGATTTGATGATAGAATCCGCTCAGAATGGCACAAACGTCATCACGGATCAAGAGATCAAAGAAGAAGTAGACACCATCATGTTTGAGGTTTGTAAAAAACTCTTAAGAAGTATACAAATGGTCAAAGCATTTTCATACCAAATAATAATAGAGCAAAGCTATCAGAATAAGGCCATACTTTGTTCATCAAAGAGTTTGTCTTATTCATTCGTACTACATATTGATATCTGGAAAAGGCATATTATTTTCTCTACACGACGGACATATTTTTTAAGTTTCACAATCATTTTTGTATTTTCCAGGGTCACGACACCACTGCAGCTGGATCTAGTTTCGTCTTATGCCTTCTAGGAGTCCACCAGGACATCCAAGCAAAGGTCTACGACGAGCTCTATGAAATATTCGGGGACTCTGACCGTCCTGCCACCTTTGACGATACTGTCCACATGAAGTACTTGGAGAGAGTGATTCTGGAAACCCTCAGGATGTACCCACCAGTACCGATCATAGCTAGAAAATTGAATCATGACGTTCAGATCTGTAAGTAGTTTGTTTCTTGAAGTATTTTAGTTGTTATCAATCTAATCACAATATCAGATCAGACACATCGTTACATAAACATCGGAAATATCATAAAACTTATCTTTTTACTACCTTGTGCCTTGTACCTTGTGTTTAAGTACTTTTTTACTATGTTATCATAGTATTAAATTTGATCAATTCTACAAATCTTATCAAAAGCTATAATGACTTGTCTTGCTTGGTTCACCTCGCACTGTCAAATTGTCAAGTGCTCGAATCCTGTATCTTCATATCTGCTTCCTTTTCAGCTACAAACAAGTACGTGCTCCCAGCTGGCGCCACCGTCGTCATAGGAACTTACAGGATTCACAGGAACCCTAAATATTATAAGAACCCCAACGTGTTCAACCCCGACAACTTTTTGCCAGAAAATACCCAGAACCGTCATTATTACAGCTACATACCCTTCAGCGCTGGACCCAGAAGTTGTGTCGGTTAGTTCACTTTTCTACCCCCATACAGGGTGTGGTTTTGTAAAACAACGCCATTCTCAGGGGTGGTAGTATACACGACACTGATGCCAAAAAAAAATATAAAAAATATATTTTAAGTGTTCATGGAAAAATCCATGAAATTAGAAAAATGGTATATTACGCGGGCGAGCTATCGGACAGTCCCCTCGCTCTTTCGGGCCGCATATGCTCGGTGGTGTAGCGGGGTACGCGGGGGTGGTACGGGCGGTAACAAGCGCCGTCTCGAAAGTTTTAGGAGACTTGAACAAGGTTTTTTAGTATTAAAGTAATAGTTAAAATTTTATTTATATTTTTCTTGTAATTACTTTCCTGTATATTACCACCCCTGAAATGGGCGTTGTTTTACAAAACTACACCCTGTACAGCATGAACTGGAAAGCGCAGCGTGTGACGTCCACTCACAAGGTGGTTTGACAAACATGCTGTTGCTGAAATGACGATGATGGCATGAATCATGGATAGCTCAATCGGCCAGATGATTATTTCTGTACCTTCGGAAACAACTAATTGTTGTTATCTTATAAAACAAGTACAAGTTAAACTCTGTAATCTTGTAACTAATCTTAGAAATTTTCTTTTTACAACTTTGTACTCGATTTGAACTCACAAAGTCGTCCCTATTTCCAACTGCTAAATAATAATAAACGGAGGCTTTATTACTAAAAACTAACAAAACGTTAACTCTATTTCCAGTAACTATACTCTAATAATTCCAATTCGTTCTGCAAATCACAATTTAATTTGGCTCGCGTTTATTTATTTCATTTTTGAACAGCCTCATACTCGTATTTTTTAATAATATCTTCATCGTTTACCACTATATCTTTTTTATTTATAGGTCGGAAATACGCTATGCTGAAGCTCAAGGTTCTCCTATCTACCATCCTAAGGAACTACAGGACAATTTCAGAAGTATCTGAGGAAGACTTTGTGCTGCAGGGAGACATAATCCTGAAGAGGACAGACGGCTTCAGGATCAAGGTCGAGCCAAGGAAAAGAGTCCCATTATCAGCTCAACAATAAAATTACAAATTATGCTAACATCTCAATTAATTTTAAGCGTGAAGTGTTTGTGTCTGATTTTACCTAAATAAATGAATGAAACTGATATATTTTTGTATTTAACATTAAAAATCTTCAACGATTGTATTCAGGATCTTTACTTTAAACTAGGTGAAAGTACTTAAGTGTGATGTAAATAAATAGATAATAAAATATTTGTTTTTAATCAATATAGTTTTATTGCATTTATTGAGCGTCATAAAAATAACATTATAATAATAACAACAACCTGTAAGCTATTTTTTCTAGTTCTGTCTCTATACATAATCTTAACTTTAAAAAAAAAGCTTAAACAGGGTATTACGTAGATCTAAAATCAAGAAATCACTACTCTATCGAATCCATGTTAGGCTCCACAATTCAAATTCGTTATAGGTAGATACGAGTTAGATTGCAGATTATAGGTTCGTATAGGACAGCACAGGGAAAAACTTAGCGTGGGACGTCCACCCACAAGGTGGTGGTAAAAGTAGCAGGAAGGCGCTGGACGCAGGCCGCTACCAACCGGGCAACATGGAAAGCATTTGGGGAGGCTTATGTTAAGCAGTGGACGTCCTACGACTGAAATGATGATGATGATGATACGACAGCTTCCTCTGGCGATTACTTAGTCATAGTTTGTTATCCCAAATAAAATAAAATTAAATAGTGGTTAGTGGCTAATAGTGCCACCTTTTTTTTTTCAAAATAAAAAAATAATTATAAATAAATAATTTGAATAACTGCCTAAGACGGGAATAGAACCCACTTATAATAGCAATTAAGGGAACATAATATAAATAATATTTTATGTAAAAATGGAAGGAAGGATGCTGCAACATATCACTATCAACTACCGATACTGTTGCAGTATTAAATTATATACAGTGTGTCCGGGCTTGTAGTGATCAAACTTTAAGGGCAAAATCTAGGGACAATTTTATCGATAAAAATACTTCAAATTTGGGGCCTGACCCATTTCTCGAAAAATTACATCGATTTAAGTTTTTAATTTTTAGTTTACACCTCTTCTTTAAAAAACAAGTGAAAGCGTGGGTAGCTTAACATTAATAGGCAAATATTTTATATCATGCGATAGCCAATAAAATTATCTATTAGTAGAAGAAGAAAGCAAATACAAGTTTCATACATTTTATGGGAGTAAGAATGGATTAAATTAGAAAAATACATTACTTTTTTCACTTCTTTTTCAGTTATTTTCCAACACAAGAAAAACCAGGTCGTTAAGGTATGTTTTATTTGCATTTTATTTTTAGTATTTGAGCTATTCTACAAAACGAATGTAAATTAATTAGTCTACGTCTATTAGTTTCGACGTAATTGTTGAACAAAGATACCCCTTCCCAACGGTTTCCATAGTAATCGGAATAGGTTGTGTGATTCTTTCAGACAGTGCATTTTCGCATGTCGCGTGCGCTATGGAAACCGCTGGGAAGGGGTATCTTTGTTCAACAATTACGTCGAAACTAATAGACGTAGACTAATAAATTTACATTCGTTTTGTAGAATAACTCAAATACTAATAATACAATGCAAATAAAACATACCTTAACGACCTGGTTTTTCTTGTGTTGGAAAATAGCTGAAAAAGAAGTGAAAAAAGTAATGTATTTTTCTAATTCAATCCATTCTTACTCCCATAAAATGTATGAAATTTGTTTATGTTTTCTTCTTCTACTAATAGATAATTTTATTGGCTATCGTATGATATAAAATATTTGCCTATTAATGTTAAGCTACCCACGCTTTCACTTGTTTTTTAAAGAAGAGGTGTAAACTAAAAATTAAAAACTTAAATCGATGTAATTTTTCGAGAAATGGGTCAAGCCCCAAATTTGAAGTATTTTCATCGATAAAATTGTTCATAGATTACGCCTTTAAAGTTTGATCACTACATGCCCGGACACACTGTATATGCACGCACCGATGTTTCGTGCACATAACTCTTATTACCATGCAAAAACAAGGCGGATCGCTTACATAAAATACATAAGCATGCTAAAAAATGCATATAGAAAAATTAAGAGCTAATTTCCATATCTGGAGCACAGGTTTAAGAATACCATAGGCATACCTACGCAACGCAATAACAAAACATATTTAATAACTGGTACTGTAGGTATATTGTCGTAGGTACATGTAATAGTTTTTGATAGGTAATGTATTGTGTTAATACAGGTTTAAACTTTGTCACTTCTCAGAATAAAAATGACGAAAGGAAAATACTGAAATCAACAATTATATTTGCAGATGTATGCATAATTATAATATAGTCATACTAACTACGTCAAACGCTGTTGATCGCGCATTGTGTGGGTCCAACGTGCGACCAAACCAATTTACACATTAATTTGGAAGTTTTACAACCCCTAATTCCAACAAAGTAATTGTTATTTCAAAACGATACTAACTAAAGCTAAAGATATGGTATTCTTTCATGATTAACGCTCGTATTCACAAACGATGCTTGCTTAAGTGAAGCAGCAAATCGAACGCACAGAGTGTAATAAAGCTCTGTGATTAGTTCGTGTGTCACACTGTGCGTCCACGCACACTGTGAGACTTCATAGTAATGTTAGTGAATACGGGAGTCCTTAATTGTTATTTCAAAAAGATACTGACTAAAACTAAAGATATGACATTCTTAACGTGATGTTCTCAAGCCACTGAATTTTTTGATTTCAGTTGTTTAAAATAAAGTTAATTTGTGTTTATACTATGATTATGAATGAGAACCTAAGCTGCCAGAGATGACAATGCCAATATGACTCCAATCTTCCTTCATCCATCCATAATCTTAAAACCTAAAGCCAAAGAGTGTTGAGTCTACTCGCGTCACTTTGTTTTTTTATCAATATGCTGTCAGTATACGATTCAAAATCTATCAGAAAAGGCAAATTACCACAGAATTATTTTTTTCATTTTTGTTTTAGCTATCAATAACAGCCAAAATACGATATTGGTTGGATTTTAGTCAAATTACTCGTAGCTACGTTTACAATGTAGGTACTTTCAGTTTGTACTCGTATATCGTACGGAACCTCAAATTATCCGAAAATTAATGTAACCAGAACAATACCTTGTGAAAACAATAAATCAACAATATCAATGAATCTTACATGATGTCGGGGGTCATCTTTATAAAGCTGTCAATTATGCAAAACAGTCTATCACACGGTCCCCAGCAGTTACAGGAGAGACTGGTATATCGACAGGTAAGGAAATAAAGTACACCTGTTTTTGGCACTAGAATTTGGTAACCAAAAGCATAATTAATTATAGTAACAGTCAGTGAGGAGTCAGCCTGAGGTATGGGAGCGGCACAGTAAGGTGTTTTTGGGACATCAAACGTCAACGAGACTTTAAATGTGCACAGTGGGTCTAGACAAAGTGCAAATTATAATCGCAAACCAGTCGAAAAGTGGTCGAAAAGCTCCTTTTTTGTATGTAGTTTTGACGGATTGGATTTTCGATTCGATCAAAAAGTGCGTTTTGTCTAGGGGGCCAGATTTGTATGCTCTGTCACGGGCTTACGGCATAACATGTCAATGTCATCTCTCCCGTGACGCTCCCATACCTTAGACACTGACTGATTTAACCGCTAGACTAATTGTATTTTTGTAGATAAACCGCGAACTAGCTTAAGGGCTAGGTAATTATTTTTTTACTTAGTAAATGCTTACTCTTTCCGACCTCATAAAGGTAGCAGCAAGGCGCTGGATGCAGGCCGCTAAAAACCGGGCAATATGGAAATCATTGAGGGAGGCCTATATTTTAGCAGTGGCCGTACTGTGATTAAAATGATAATAATAATGACGATCTACTGTTTCAGAAACATGTCGTTGGCTATAGAAGAAGTTTCGGGATATCCCATCAGCATGTCGCGGCTGTTGTTCTACTCCCTGGTATTTCTGGTGACGGGACTCTGGGTCTTGCACCGCAGACGTCAGCAGACCAGACTTGTCAAATTGGGGAACAAAATACCTGGACCTACTGCATATCCATTATTTGGGAATGCGCTCCTTGCGCTCGGGAAAACACCAGCAGGTAAACTTTCTTCTAAAGTCTGAGACAATTTTCTCATTTAGCCTGAAAACCTTATATTGTACATAGAGATTTCCTGCAATGTCAATAAATAAATACCTGCGTGATAGGAACCTAGGCGATATTTTTATCATTTATTTTTTCAATTTCTTAAATATTACGTACGATTCATTTGTATTTAAGTCCTATACGCGCATAATATTCGCATGAACAACATTGTATGTAATAATAACGAGATGTGCGCAATCAATCCATATCCCAATTCTTAATTCGACGTAAATATTTTATGTTTCCGAGTTATTTACAGCAAGCGAGAGCTGAAAATAGTCATTATTTAGGCAATACCTGCAATGGGGCAGCAAGGTTCTGGAGTGGAGGCCACGTACCAGAAAACGCAGCGTGGGACGTCCACCCACAAGGTGGACCGACGACATCATAAAGGTAGCAGGAAGGCGCTGGACGCAGGCCGCTACCAATCGATCAACATNACAGTGGGTCTAGACAAAGTGCAAATTATAATCGCAAACCAGTCGCAAAGTGGTCGAAAAGCCCCTTTTTTGTATGGAGTTTTGACGGATTCGATTTTCGATTCGATCAAAAAGTGCGTTTTGTCTAGGGGGCCAGTGGGTCTAGACAAAGTGCAAATTATAATCGCAAACCAGTCGCAAAGTGGTCGAAAAGCCCCTTTTTTGTATGAAGTTTTGACGGATTCGATTTTCGATTCGATCAAAAAGTGCGTTTTGTCTAGGGGGGCAGATTTGTATGCTCTGTCACGGGCTTACGGCATAACATGTCAATGTCATCTCTCCCGTGACGCTCCCATACCTTAGGCACTGACTGATTTAACCGCTAGACTAATTGTATTTTTGTAGATAAACCTCGAACTAGCTTATGGACTAAGTAGATATTTTTTTTACTTAGTAAGTAATAGTGCTTACTCTTTCCGACCTCATAAAGGTAGCAGTAAGGCGCTGGATGCAGGCCGCTAAAAACCGGGCAATATGGAAATTATTAAAATAAAATTCATAAAATTCATTTATTTTTGCAAATAGGCTTTAAAAAAGCACTTTTCCACGTCCTAATATTAACCCTACTACTGCTTCGGGACAATAAATGGGCCAGTGCTGAGAAGAAGCAGCGCAAGAAACTCAGTCACTATTGTCAGCCTCCTTTTCAAGGGTTTACAGTCTTTAAAATATACAAATTATAGTAATAAGTATTGATGCGAGCGGGGTAGTTAAACATTCCAAACATTTTTATCTTTTATATAATCATCAACTTTATAGTAGCCCTTTTTCATTAAGGTGCTTTTTAATAATTGTGGGAGGCCTATGTTCAACAGTGGACGTCCTGTGGCTGAAATGATAATGATGATAATCTACTGTTTCAGAAACATGTCGTTGGCTCTAGAAGAAGTTTCGGGATACCCCATCAGTATGTCGCGGCTGTTGTTCTACTCCTTGGTGTTCTTGGTCACGGGACTCTGGGTCTTGCACCGCAGACGACAGCAGACCAGACTTGTCAAGTTGGGGAACAAAATACCCGGACCTACTGCATATCCATTGTTTGGGAATGCGCTCCTTGCGCTCGGGAAAACACCAGCAGGTAAACTTTTTTCTAAACCGCAAGTTTTTTTTGTAACCAGCCAGCTTCTTGTAGACAGTAAACCTTTAATAACATTTTCACATAGAGGATTTCCTACACCTGCAGTGTTCAAACTACCTTCAAGGCGATATTTCCATCATTTATATTTTTTAATAGTAGATACTACTATTACGATTTATTTATAGTTGTGTCCTATACGCATTCGCCCATGCATATACGAGCATTCTCATGAGAAACATTGTATGTACTAATAACGAGATGTGCGCAATCAATCCATGTCCTAATTCTTAATTCGACGTAAATATTTTATGTATCCGAGTTATTTACAGCACTGTTAGCTTTATTAGCGAGAGCTGAAAATAGTCATTATTTAGGCAACACTTGCGATGGGGCAGCAAGGTTCTGGAGTGGAGGCCACGTACCAGAAAACGCAGCGTGGGACGTCCACCCACAAGGTGGATCGACGACATCATAAAGGTAGCAGAAAGGCGCTGGACGCAGGCCGCAACCAATCGATCAACATGTAAATCATTGGGGGAGGCCTATGTTCAGCAGTGGACGTCCTACGGCTGAAATAATGATGAGGCAATACTCACTCGTACATCTATTGATCGAAAATCATTTTGCCTCAGAGATAATGGAGCTAAGTCTAGAGTTTGCGAAGCGATACACGAGCGTTGTTCGAGTCTGGCTGGGGACTAGCCTGTACGTCTTCCTGACGGACCCTGATGATGCTGAGCTGATCCTCAACAGCCAGGTCCACATCAACAAGTCTGATGACTACAGCTTCTTCAAACCTTGGCTTGGGGAAGGCTTGCTGATTAGTTCAGGTAACGTTTTTTAAATACTCTACCTATAGAATTTCAAGGCTGAGTTACACCGTCTTGCTTTAACCGTAACTATAGTATTATCTGGTCTTTTTTGTATGAACTTTGATAGGTTTTTGACATTTGTTAAAGTTAACGTAACATGTTGCAACTTAGCTTAATAATATCATTGTGACAATTGTTACAACTATGTTTGTCGAACTACCAAATCGATGTGAAATAAGCCCATAATACGTAACTCTATTCAATTTGGTAGGTAAGCATGAAATATCTCAGCCGGTAAAAAAGTAGCTCTAATTAAATACTTAAGCTATTAATTAATTAGTGAATACTTGTAGCCCATTACTTCCGATTTTACAAAGTTGGAAATGCCAGATTCATATTTACATGAGTACTTATCTATTCTTTGGTATATTTGTTATTGTCTTGATATCCTTAAAAAAGCAATAATTATTTCAGGTGACAAGTGGAGATCACACCGGAAAATGATTGCCCCTACGTTCCATATAAACATATTGAAATCTTTCGTTGGAGTTTTTAACCAAAACAGCAAAAATGTTGTTGACAAAATGAAACCAGAAATCGGAAAAACTTTTGATGTCCACGACTACATGAGTGGTGTCACTGTTGATATTCTTCTTGGTAAGTGTATGATTAATTTTATCTTATTTATTTACTTTAACCGTAACTTTAACAGTAATCGGTGTTTTTATATGGAGTTTGACAGATTGTTGACGTGTGCTAAAGTTAAAGTAAGGTGTTGCAAGTCAGCCTTAGTGACTAAGCCCCAAATTAACTTGAAACCCTATCTAAGAATATACTTAATTTAACTACTTGATTAGTTACATCGCCAAATTCTTAATTTTACGGACTGTACCTACTTAAAATCGTAAACCACAAGATGACCGTCAAAAAGATACTATAAATCGGCAGCAGTCATTCATTACAGGAATATTAATTATTGCACTGTAATTACATTACGGTCAATGTTAATCGTACACAAATTGCACCGGCTTAAATATTGATGAGCACGTTTTGCATTTTAATTAATCTTCGCATGAACAAAGTCCAATTAATATTTCAGTAATAACTGATAATGACAAGCAACATTGTAATGTTTCAGAGACAGCAATGGGAATCACAAGAAAAACACAAGACGAATCAGGGTTTGACTACGCTATGGCTGTTATGAAGCAAGTATTGAACTTCAAACTAAATATGCACTTAAGTTGAAGAAACGAAGTATAAGAAATCATTTATTTGTTCCAGAATGTGCGATATCATACATCAAAGACATTACAAGTTCTGGATGAGACTTGAAGCTATGTTCAAATTCACTGCATCCTTCAAGAAACAACACAAACTTCTTAAAATTATTCACGGCCTTACAAATAAGGTAAAAGAACCATAACATTACTTGAACACCAACTCAAATTACAAATAAGAAAAATAATTCAGTCCCATCACCGTAGTGGACATTAATTTTGCTACAAGATTATCAAATGTCAAATCACTGATTTCGTGATCTTATTTCCTATACACTCCTTTCGCTTATTTTGCCACTTTTTAAATCTTAAGAATATTAACAGGTCATCAAAGAAAAGAAGAAAACCTATATAGAGAACAAAGCAAAAGGCATCATTCCACCCACATTAGAAGAGCTGACACGCTCACCTGATGATAGCACAGACCCTCTTGACACCAAAACTCTTGCTGACAGCGTCTTCAAAGGATTAAAGGATGATCTTGACTTTAATGATGAAAATGACGTTGGTAAGACAACGGCGATTCGTCAAATAAACAAAGTAGAAATAATTAAGCACTATTACACATTGTTCATGTTTTAGGTGAGAAGAAACGACTAGCTTTCTTAGATCTGATGATTGAATCCGCTCAAAATGGAACCAACAACATCACTGATCTTGAAATCAAGGAAGAAGTGGACACTATCATGTTTGAAGTGAGTATTCCCAAGAGAATAATAATAACTGTCAATTGATACTAATAGCTTTGAGTATCTTACTTGTAATGAAATGTGTTTTTCCATCTAGGGTCATGACACAACAGCAGCAGGGTCGAGTTTTGTCCTATGCCTCTTGGGCATCCACCAAAACATTCAAGCCAGGGTCTACGATGAGCTCTTTGAGATCTTTGGTGACTCTGACAGGCCAGCCACCTTTGAAGATACCCTTCGCATGAAGTACTTGGAGAGAGTTATTCTAGAGTCATTGAGGATGTACCCACCAGTGCCCATTATAGCCAGGAAATTGACTCAAGACGTGCAGATTCGTAAGTTTTATGATTTTATCATTGTTAACTGAATGGTGCCAGTTATTTATGATGATAATTTTAGCTGTATGATATTTTTTCAACAGAAACCAACAATTTCGTCCTCCCCGCCGGTTGCACTGTAGTCGTTGGCACTTACAAGATCCACCGCAGCCCTAAATTCTATAACAACCCTGAGGTATTCAACCCTGACAACTTTTTGCCTGAGAACTGCCAGAACCGACACTACTACAGTTTCATACCCTTTAGTGCCGGCCCTAGAAGTTGTGTTGGTAAGTTTTGAGTCAACTTTTACGGAAACATGACCATGAACTTTCGGTAAACGAAACAAATTCAAGCACTGATCACCATTATCATTGATTGCTGGATTTGTTCTAGAATACCTTCCTGTGTTTCTATATTTCAAAAACGAATGTTACTTTGTCTAGTACTGGCAATGACATGACCAACTGGGAGTATAAGCTATAATAAAATTACTTATTTGTTCTAGGTCGCAAATACGCCATGTTGAAACTGAAGATTTTGATCTCAACGGTCCTTCGAAACTACAAGACCATATCCGACGTGCCTGAAAACAAGTTCACCCTTCAAAGCGACATCATTTTGAAGAGGACTGACGGGTTTAGACTCAGGATAGAGCCAAGGAAACGCGTCCCACGCTTCACAGGGGCATAAGTCTTAACAAGACTTTTTCAAAAATCCAAAATTACCAGAATATTACAGATATACTCTTGAATTTATCTGTAAGATGGCCATGAAAACGTTACGAAGGAAGACTTCAATTTTTTTTAGTGAAAAAATATCTAACAATCTGTAACATTAATTTGTTGTTCATCATTCCTAGTGTTAATTAATTTAATGACAAAATATTTGGTTTAATAATAAAATAGATTATACTGCAGTTATTCAATCGAATGTTTTATGTAATATTGAATAAGATGCATTTTTTTAACTAATAAAATCAACTAATACGTATCGTTGTATTTCTTTTTTCAGTAAATCGTTTAGAACTTTATATTTACTTTGTTCTTCCTGAAGGACATTGGGCCATTATGTTCTTTCCGTAGGCATTTAGGACTTAGGAGATAAAATAAATAAAAGTAGGCATTAACTTATCTATTTTATGTAAAAGTAAACAAACACGTAATTATAATTATATTTATATAGATCAACAAAATGGCAATGCTTTGTAGAACATTCTCGAGAACCCGTTTCATATTTTCACAAATATACGTCACTAACTAAATAATAATAACTAAACGAATAATATTCAGCACTATGATAAAAATATAATACTTCCTTACACTGTATTATTAATTTGATAATAATATTGTTTATTGTTCTAATAAGTATTATTTCTTTCTATAGACAAAATACTCGACAGTCCACAACACTACACATATGAGACAGCAAAAACTCATTGCGAAGAAACAAAACACATAGCTTCCAGTTGCTTCATATAGGATACCTGAAAAAATAGAGCAGTAATAAATATGACGATAATTTAGTACTTAATATTAAAACTACGAAAGATTTTTTATGCAGTACAAAGCAGGTATTTGACTGCATTCACATCTCATGAGATGCAGGCTAAGGATTGTAAGTAGGATTTCTGCTCGAGCTTTCTCGAACTCGAGAAAACTCGGGAAATTTGGCTTCATTCGAGACGAGAAAAAAATCACCGGAGCTCGAGAATTCTCGAGTTTCGATTTAGAAGCTTTAATATTCTGTTAAGCCTATTTTCTTAGACAAAAGCTAGTTTTTAATTAAATAAATAATAAATAAATAAATATCCTTGGCCAGTCTAAAAGCCTGGCCTAGTCTTTCCTTTTTGAACTGATTTGATTTGCAAGTAATGATGTCAATCGAAAGTAAGTAATAATGTTCACCAACGAGTATGCTATATTTATTACCTATGTATTTTTATCTCTGACTGATTTACGGCCGAATACTGAAACACTACTCAAATCTGTCACTCAGCTGACGGGCTCCTAAATATAAGTATAGTTCCAAAATACTGAACTGTCCTATCGATGACATTGACAGCGGGGCGCCACCGTCAATACCGAATCGCTGGTTCCAATTTTTGCCATGTTGGAAACCATATAGTTGAACGATGGTAGCGCCCCCCTGTCATTGAGTTTGGCGGGACAGTTCAGCGTGGGTCATCTATATCCTTCAATTTTAAATGGTATTCTCAAACGCTACTCAACGGATTTGAAGCCGTGATCAGCTAAGCAGCTCTCAAATGTTTACATAATGGCAACATTTACCAAAAAAAGTATGTTTTCATTTACACAAATGATAACTTTACGTCTTTTATCCATTACACGCAGCATCGTTTGGGTATGTATTGTCTTTTATGGAAATATACTCAATCAACTTTTAACATAGAACTTTTAGTTTCTATTATATATAAATCTCGTTTTATCATATAAAAATAATGCTTGCATTTTTATTTAATTAAAAAAATAATTTTAAATATGATACTTTTTATTGTTGAAATCTATTAAGTGGCGATCGTGGACCGAAACGTAACCACAATTGACATTTATCATTGTTGACAGCAGAGCATCAAATTGACAAATCAACAACTCTTGGAAATGCTGCTATGCGATGTCCCCTTAATCCTCAGAAATAGGCATGTTTATGTAAAGCGATTTCATAGCAGCTATTTTGGTTGTTACTTCGTGCACTATACGATGCACAGTTGGCTGTTAGATGTGGAAGATATCACCTAGTACACGTTCATAACTTCCCGTTGCGTAGAACAGTAGGGTTATAATAAGTATTTGGTCCACTGGTTGGGTGAGGGGTTTCAAAGAGCTTCCAAATTATGAATCCAGAAACAACACCGTTTCTTTAGAGACGCGGAACCTCGCTCGGAATTGCATGTCATTATAATAATATTTTTCAATAGCGTTCAGCATTATTGCGTTCCTGCGATTAGATCTAGGTATTTCCTCGAGGCTCGAAAGAAATGATAACGATGACACACATTGTTTACCACTATTTAGGTCGTTTTAGGTATAACAATAGGATTTAAGATACCGCGCAAGCACTCTCAAATTTAACAGCTGCTTAAGACGATTTGACAGTTGTTTGAGTAATGCTTAGCGTTGAATGGCGTTGTATGCGAGAATTCATTTATAGTTCCAAAATACTGAACTGTCCTATGCATGACATTGACAGTGGGGCGCCACCGTCAATACCGGATCGCTGGTTCCGATTTTTGCTATGTTGGAAACCATATAGTTGAACGATGGTAGCGCCCCCCTGTCATTGAGTTTGGTGGGACAGTTCAGCGTGGGTCATCTATAAGTGGCGTTTGAGTGCAACTTAATTTGAGAGGTGCTTAAAAATTGAGAACTGCTCAGATATTGTTTTGAGTATGCGAAATGTAAGTTTAGGAGCTGCTTAACTATTTGAGAAGCCGTCAAATATTTAAATGGCGTTTCAGTATTCGGCCGAAGACTGAAATATTTGTTAACTGTCTATTACATTAGGTACTAGTGCCTCCTTGTAAAGTTAATTCAAGTCGTGATCTTTAAGAAAAAACATTTATTAAAAAGTTTTTTTGGTTTATAAAAAAAACTATTTATTGGAATTTGTTATTTGGACTTGTGTTTTTGGAAAACAAGTGATTTAATTGTTGCTCCAGATTTTTATTGCTATTTATCCTTAAAATACACGCGATTTTATGACTTTTGTTATGATTATTAGTTAATATTAATTATGAAAGAAGATTTTATTTTTTGTTACTTTCCTTGCCAAAATAAGTGGTACTAAATTCTAATATTGATTGTTGTGCAATAAAAGTGTATATTAGATTAAAAAACCTGTGTTTTGTATTAAATTTCAAGCGATTTCAACAGTTTTCATTAAAAGACTCGAGACCCGAGAAAACTCGAGACTTTGGCCTCGAGAATTCCCGAAACTCGAGAAAAAAAATAGGTCGAGAAATCAGAAACCCTAATTGTAAGCATGTAGGGATTTTTGTTTCTCTTTCAAGCAAAACTACTGGACGGATTATGGTAAAACAGTGTAAAACTATAAAAGCTCTGTACAACAAATACTCATAATGTAAATTATTGTCTACTAGCTTTCCGCCCGCGGCTTCGCCCGCGTGGAATTTTGTCTGTCACAGAAAAACTTTATCGCGCGCGTCCCTGTTTCAAAAACCGGGATAAAAACTATCCTATGTTCTTTCCCGGGACTCAAACTATCTCTATGCCAAATTTCATCAAAATCGGTTGCGAGGTTTAAGCGGGAAAGCGTAACAGACAGACAGACAGACAGACAGACAGACAGACAGACAGACAGAGTTACTTTCGCATTTATAATATTAGTTGGGAAGAAGGGGAATTCAGCTAGAAATATAAGTAGGCGCCTGTTTAAATTGAATACTAGCTTAATACTACTTGAAGCAAGCATTAGTATCTCTACATTTAAACATTATTAAAGAAAAAAAAACTGATGTGGCAGTGGGCAGGGCACATAGTACGCAGAACTGACGGCCGATGGGGCAGCAAGGTTCTGGAATGGAGGCCGCGTACTGGAAAACGCAGCGTGGTACGTCCACCCACAAGGTGGACCGACGACCTGATAAAGGTAGCAGGAAGACGCTGGATGCAGGCCGCTACCAATCGTGCGATGTGAAAGTTACTGGGGAGGCCTATGTTCAGCAGTGGACGTCCTATGGCTGAAATGACGATGATGAAAGAAAAAAAATATTACAGCTCAATTTATATTAGCTTTATCTAGCCATGATGCCATCATCTTCATTTTCTTGATTAATTTAAGGAAGCCTTGGTTGGATTGATGGTGAAAACGGGCATTAGTTCTACTAGGCTGTACTTTGAACTCCTCACCTATCAAAGGATCCGCCATCAGCATCAGCGCTCCAGAGAAGAGTATATGCAGCGCCAGAGCACCAGGGAAGTTGTCTGGAGCCGCCATCGCCAGCACCAGAGGAAAGAGAACCTGCACCGAGCACCGTACGACGCCTGACACCACGGTTATGGCAAACACGTACCACAGCTCACTTGAGCTCACGAGAGCTGGAAAGGAAATGAAACAAGTCATTTTATAGAAGACTTTTTGAAGTATTCCTTCACACTTAAATGCATTTATCAAAAAGGTTTGATGAAAAGTCTGTAGGTATTTGTATAACTTATAGGTATTAAATAATTTGTAGAAGTTAAACTGAATCGTTTCTCTACATTTACAAAATCTACTTATCTACTTTAATGTAGCACTGGTTTCAAAAACTTAATGTGAACTGATTTTATTTTCATATTTTATTACAGAGACTGTAACAACAGCCGTAATGTCGTCTCAAATAGAGATTTCACTATCTCTATACCTACTTAAATCTATCTTTCATTGAATAATGAAAGAACTGAAAGATGACTACTTTCTTGGAGTATTACCTTACTTAGTGATAAGCTATAATCATAAATCTTACCGACACGCAAAATAACAGTCACACAGGTGCCAGCAAAGAAGATTTTTCTGCTGTCCACTACGTAAAAATACGTAATCACAGCCAGAAGGAATCGAGCTAAAAGGTCTGCCACGGCACCCACCATCACACAAGTTGCTACTTCCATCTAGCAAAGAAAAACAAATTTTATTCATTTGTGTACAGTTACATTTTAATTAGGATTCTTTTTAGGTAGGTTCCACTCGATTTTGAATCACTTTTGAAAAAGTTGCTATCAATGCTTGCTGCCTATGACGGGAAACGTGGATCGCCTTCGGCAGTTCGATTTTTTCATAAAATT